GATCCGGAAAAATCAAGACAAACTCGGAGATAAACACTGATACACAAAGTTGACATGCGGCTTTACCAGCAATGCTACACTGTGTGATGCTGGGACGGGCTGAACTCACCAGGATTCGCGGAACCACACGTGACGTCACGACACAGCACCAAGCAGCGGCAAGTTTGAATCCAGACTTTTCTGGATACCTCTGAATTTGACGCATTTTCCCGATATTAACAAGTGATTTACAGCAAATAGGAAACGATATTCGATCTATATCACGTGTTACTGGAATAAGACCCAACAAGTTAATGCATTTTGAAACAGTTCTATGATCTTTCAGCTACAGTAAATTACGCAAGATAAGGACTTTAATATAGACTCTGTGTGTGTGTGTGTGTGTGTGTGTGTGTGTGTGTGTGTGTGTGTGTGTGTGTGTGTGTGTGTGTGTGTGTGTGTGTGTGTGTGTGTGTGTGTGTGTGTGTGTGTGTGTGTGTGTGTGTGTGTGTGTGTGTGTGTGTGTGTGTGTGTGTGTGTGTGTGTGTATGAGCATGTGTGTGTGTCTAGTACTCGTAGGCAGAGTGTGTCCTCTGAGAGGTGCTCCTGGTGCTCTGGCTGCTGGTGCTCATGTGTCTCTTCAGACAGGGAATCTTTTTAGCCATCAGTCTTCTGAAGTGGCTCTGGAACTTCTTTCCCACAAATGTGTAAAACACAGGACTAATGCAACAATACAGATAGGCTATGTTCCGGGTCACATACAGTGCATAGTCCAAGCTTTCCAAGTCAGAACATAAGTCTTCCTCCTTGCTGGTGACCTGAAGAGCTCGAAGGAGGATGACGATGTTGTAGGGTGTCCAGCAGGCGAAGAAGGTGAAGATAATGACAAATATGACTTTGATGGCGCGACATTTCTCCTTCATGCGGGTAGACAAAATGCGGATAGTGATGCTAATATAGCAGTACATCACCATGGTGAGAGGGAGGAGGAAGAAGAGCAAGAATTGTTGATAGTAAGTGACCAGCCGCCAGCGCTCCATGGTGCTCTCGGAGTATCCCGACTCATCACATGTCAGCCCATTGAATAGACTCTTTCCCACATCTTGGAAAACCAGCTCTTTCACACTAGCTACAATACTGATGCACCAAACTGCCACTGACGCAGTAATGGCATATGCCTTCTTCCTGCTCTTGGCGCTGCCACTGCATGCACCACTGCAAGGTATCGGTCAAATGTCATGAGTGTGAGGAATAGGATTGAGCTGTAAAAGCCGATGAAGTACGCACTGCTTACCATCTTACACAGAGCCACACCAAAGATCCACTCAGACAGATGGTATGTCGCCCAAAAGGGGAGACTGGAGGCAAATAGAAGGTTGGAGAGGACCAAATTCAGAAGGAAGATGTTTGTCACTGTGCTGAGCTTCTCAAACTTGTAGATGATAAAGAGAACAAGCCCGTTGCCAAGGTAACTCAGGAGGAAGATGGTGTAGTAGAAAACTGGGATGAGTCTTGCACCAAACTGGTTGAGAGCCTGCTTTGAACAGAGCTTGACAATTTCACTAACCACATAGCTGGGATCAGTTGAGCTATTGGCTTCATACATTTCCTCAAACGCCAAATAGTTGTCATCATAGCTCATGGCTGGGTTTTGACCTGTGAGACATTAGGGAACCATGTTAGTCACTTTTCTGCAAGTTGAAGAAATTGCTAACAAGTCAATTGGTCTGATAAGTTGTCACATGGTCTGGCTGCTGGTTAAAAGGTCATGGAAGTTACATCTATTTCATGTTCATATTTCACCTGAAGAAATTAGAACGAGAAGATTTGGTAAACAAATAATGAGGATTCATACAACAGAAAAGTCAGAGAGTAACTACAGAATAGTGTCATGAAATAACTAACAGTTAAACCAATGACTCTTGTGTGATCTGTCATTTTGTGTGGATTTCGTTTGTGACTCAAAATAAAGAACAGGAACTGAGAGTAAAAAAGTCCCACTTCCCAAAGCTGGTGTGTAAGACTTGCTCCTCGGAAATAAGTAATTGCAGCTGTAGCCTACTAGGTTCCTATTATAATGACCATCATACCTAATATTATAACCATTTGTATACATACAGCCTATGTTTCATACGCTCCATCTCTGCTTTCTTGATTTCATTTTTTAAAACGTTTTTAAAAACAGTTTTTATTATTTGGACACTTGGTCCTCACTGTTTAGTGTGGTAATTCCACAGAGCGGCCTTTGCTAATCTAGGAAAAATAAATGGGGCTAGAAGCTTGATGAGCATTAATGTCAGTTGGCAAACCTGTAGCTTGTTCACTTCATTCAACCTCTATTACATCATTTCTTTTTAAACGTAGAACCCCACTGTTTTATTTCACAAAGCCAGATGAAGCAGTGAACTAAGTTCAGAGGGTGGATTTAAGGTTCTTGACGCAAGATGTTACCAAGCCGTATTCAGTGGCGAGCCGTCAGGGCCCTTTAGGCTAAGATATTGTAAAAAATTATATTTGAAAACATAAAAAAACAAAAAAAAAATTTAAAGATTATTTTTTATATATTTGTTTTGTTAAATTTTTCATTAGTTTTACAAAAATAACTTGATTTAATTGTATTTAAAATAACATTTCCAAAGAAATAAATCCTTCGAATCTGCCTGTTCATTTTCTGTTGGAATGTGAAGGGTTAAATGCCGTCTCTGCGAGTTATGTGAAGACGGGAGAGCTTGTTGGTCCCTCTGTAGATTCACAGAGGGCCCGCTATAGTAACTCAATGAGAGAGTAATGTCAAATGACAGTACAATTGACCAACTATATCGTCCCTCTAAATGGGTGGGCTTTATTTTCGCGGACTTTATGACAAGTTCCGCCCGCTGCGAAGCTTTTACATGTGTATAAAGTGGTGCAGTGACGTGTCCTAAAACCCGGAAGCAAGCCGCGCTCGGGTTCCCTCAACAAAAAAGCAATGGGATTTCTCCATAGGATTTTGGAAAATAGCTGGAAATAAGGTCTGTGGAAAACGAACCTGTTAGATAAATGCACGTTTTGTTCAGCCGAATAATATCCAGATGTTTACCCTACTTTTATTATTTTCGAATCATAAATCTAATCAATAGATTTATGATCGATAGATTTATGATTTGCTTAAATTTGTTCATGATGGCTCACTTCAGTGATAGTGATGACATCGTTGCGAAATTATTAACCGAGTCATTTTCAAGATTGAGTTACAATGATAAACTGGAGTAGCAAAGGATCAGCTGCATGATCCGCCATCAAGTGCTTCATCCAAAAGGACAGGAGGATGGACTTTGTGTTTAAGTGA